CCTATAGCAAGCCCAGGATAAATAGCTTTTCTTTTCTCACTTGGTTTTTATTTCCATTGAGGAATATTCATTGAGGAAATTTCAAAAGGGAAACAGCAGTCTTTCATATTATTGTGAAGCTGGAGTCATTAGGCAGTGGTAACCCTGAGAGTCTTTATAGGAAAGGTTGCAGAAATATGGGTTAAAAAGTTGAGTTTTTTGTTTGTTTGTTTGTTTAATAGAGGTTTTTTGCCTCAGTTCACATATGCTTGCTAGAGACAGAAATAGAGACTAAGAGAGAAAGCAAGAAATCTGCCCCCAGGGGGGATGGCCACACTGGAATCTCTTTTCCTCCATTCTCTCAAGATTTTGGGCAAGCATGCACATGCACCTGGTGTGTTTCAAGTCATTGGGCCCAGACCTTGAACCGCTGCCAGCCACGTGGAAATCCAGTGATGTAACCACTATGCCATCTGCTGGCCCCCGGGATTCTTTTAAACTAGTAATTCCAAAACCGCAGGTGTTCACTAGTAATTCAGTAAACCAAAACATAAATTCCTTAGTTGTAACTTCAGTACATGAATGGGGTCCCACAATGCTATTTTCTCTTGGGTTATGCAAACTTCAATATATATTTTGAGTAATCAGAAAATAATTTCCAAATGAAGTTCTTCTTCAATCTTATTCATAAAAGAGAATTAAATAGTAACAAATTTTTTCATTGATGTAATACAAATGTATTTGCTTTTTTTTCTAAATGTATTTGCTTTAAAAACTGTTAGTATTGGGAACTAGCAGTTAGCGTAATGGCTATGTTGCTGGACTCCCACGTAGTCGACCGTGGTTCGTGTCCCGGACCCTGTGGCTTAAAACTCATACCATGTGTGTGTGCGTGTGTGCCCAGGATCCCGAGAGGAGAGTGGAGGAGAAGGGATTGCGGCGTGACCATCCCCCTTGGGGGGTGATTTCTCGCTTTCTGTCTCTATGTCTCTCTCTGTCTGTCTGGCGAGTGCATGCGCCCTATAGTGAAAACCTCTCCCCCCCAAAAAACAAACAAAAAACCCCCCAAAAAACAAAAAACAAAACAAAACAAAAAACAAAAAAAAACTGTTAGTATTAATGGTTTTAAAAATAATTTTAATTGTATTCATTATTTTTAATTTGATCAGAGAGGAAGACACACACACATGCATACACACAGAGAGAGAGGGAGGGAGAGAAAGGAAAGAGGGAAGGAGGGAAAGGGAGAAAGTAAGCCTCTAGGTCCCGGATTCAAACCGTTGTTGACCATGTGGGTGTCCAGCACCTCAATCACCACCCTGCCTACTAGCTCAAAATAATGATATTTTAATCAAGGATATTTAGGTTGCAAAGAAAAGAATTCCACTCATACTAGCTTATACAAAAAAGGCTTGAAGTCTGCATAGATACCCTTTATTGGACTAAGAGAATACCTCGCTATTCCTAGTTTGCTAATAGTTTTTAGTCATGAGTAATGTTGAATTTATCAAGTATTTATTAAGTCGATCATAGGACTTTTGTTCTGTTAATGTGACATATTACAAGATTTCTTTTTGGGGGGGCAGGAGGAGGTGTTATTCTAACCTGGCATTACTGGAATACATTCATCTTGTTTATTATCAATACATATGTGAGTGTGTGCATGTGTGCACACATGTGCATAATATCTGCTTTATGTATTGTTAGATTTGATTTACTAACATTTAGGAGTTTGTGTCTGTGTCACTAGTGGCATTGCTTGTAATTTCCCCGTGTTTGTGATGTTCCTGTTAGCTTTTGGAGGGTATGTTCACCTCATAAGATGGTTTCAGAACTGTTCCCCTTTTTTGATTCTCTGGAAAATTAGTGTGATTTCTTTCTTAAAAGTTTTTTAGGCAGGGACCAGCAGATGGCATAATGGCTGTCACTGACTTCCACAGAGTTCCTCTAGGTCCCGGATTCAAACCGTTGTTGACCATGTGGGTGTCCAGCACCTCAATCACCACCCTGCCTACTAGCTCAAAATAATGATATTTTAATCAAGGATATTTAGGTTGCAAAGAAAAGAATTCCACTCATACTAGCTTATACAAAAAAGGCTTGAAGTCTGCATAGATACCCTTTATTGGACTAAGAGAATACCTCGCTATTCCTAGTTTGCTAATAGTTTTTAGTCATGAGTAATGTTGAATTTATCAAGTATTTATTAAGTCGATCATAGGACTTTTGTTCTGTTAATGTGACATATTACAAGATTTCTTTTTGGGGGGGCAGGAGGAGGTGTTATTCTAACCTGGCATTACTGGAATACATTCATCTTGTTTATTATCAATACATATGTGAGTGTGTGCATGTGTGCACACATGTGCATAATATCTGCTTTATGTATTGTTAGATTTGATTTACTAACATTTAGGAGTTTGTGTCTGTGTCACTAGTGGCATTGCTTGTAATTTCCCCGTGTTTGTGATGTTCCTGTTAGCTTTTGGAGGGTATGTTCACCTCATAAGATGGTTTCAGAACTGTTCCCCTTTTTTGATTCTCTGGAAAATTAGTGTGATTTCTTTCTTAAAAGTTTTTTAGGCAGGGACCAGCAGATGGCATAATGGCTGTCACTGACTTCCACAGAGTTGACCACAGTTTGAGTCCCAGACCTGGCTACTACAAACTTACACTGGGTGCGTGTGCGTGCATGCCCAAAATCCTAAAAGGAGAGTGGAGGAGAAGGGATTGCAGCATGGCCATCCCCTTTCAGGGGTGATTTCTTGCTTCTTGTCTCTCTGTCTCTCCAGCGAGTACATGTGCCCTATAGCAAAAATCTCTCAAAAAAAAAAAAAAAAAAAAGTTTTTTAGGAGAGGCCAGCCGGGG